GCTCACTTATTACCCCATGCGATCCGTTTTCCTAACGACACTACCCCACCCCCTCGCGCCGCCATCCCACTTTCAACATTCCCGCCCAGCCTTCCCATTTGCAAAACCTCCCGATCCTCCATCCCGCTCGCCCAAACCCCCAATCCGATGCCGAAACACACCAGCAAAGGGAGAAGCGGGGCAGGTAAGGAGAAAGGGGACGGGAGTGCCCATTCACGCTTCCCCACGATGCCGAGAGATAGCAGCAAAGGGGGAAGCGGGGCAGATGGGGAGAAAGGGGAAGGGAGTGCCCATTCACGCTTCCCCATCCACAGGTTTCGCTGTGAATTGGTTTTCCATTTTGGTTATTACCGGCTGTTTTCGCAAAAGTGTTGTCGCAATCACCGCGCCCTCCGGCCATGATGTCTCCCGCCAAACCATTGTTATCATCATCCTTGTTGAGATCATCAAGACTATCACCGTGAATATTCATGTTGTTTGTGTCTTCGCCAGCTGCAGCAATGATAAAGAAACCATTGTCCCAATGGCTGCGCTCCCCAGTCTTATCRTYGGCGAMTAAATCATCATTTTCATCGTCGTTTTCTGATTCACACCCCTCGAGAGACATTCTGCCAATAACTCCGTTGATGCTGCACGTGAGGAAAACACTACCGTTGTTGTTTTGGCTGTTGTTGTCGTTATTGTTGTTGTTGTTGTTGTTGTTGTTGTTGTTGTTGTTGTTGTTTTTGATTTAGTTCACACGCATGGTTGTAGCCCCCTGTTGTTGTTGTTGTTGTTGTTGTTTTTGATTTAGTTCACACGCATGGTTGTAGCCCCCTCATCCAAACGAACACATTCCTCGTCGCCAGCAAACGATCGCTTGTCCAATTCACCGCGAGTTCCCTGCCCCTCCTCAGGCTCCTTGCGGCAAGTCACCATCCCCTCAACAAGAAAAGCATCCGAAACAGGAGTGTCCTCTTCTCTCCAATAACCGGGTGACGAACGCAGCCCCCGGCCCTCCTCAGGCGCCACGTCCAACAACCGTTTCCTTATATCTACAAGGGAACCCTTCACTTCCCCCAGCAGTTTGGCACACCCCGCCAACTCCTCCATCACCCGCGCGTTTTCAGCGGCACTCAAGCATTGCCAAGGGAGGTTTTCATGGAGCTCCTCCTCCCAACCATCGGACAGCTCCTCCACCTCCTCCAAAAGCTCCGGTGGAATATCATGTTGATGCTGAGTGAGCAGCACATATATCTCATCCATCTGCCGCCTATGCATCTGCACCCATACCAGCACAGACCCCTCTTCCTCGAACATGGCAGCCACCGCAGCATCCTGCATGAACGCCTCCTCAATCGCAATTTGTGTCGTTGATGTCGACACGGTTGAGGCCATTGTTTACCTAATTTCCGCTGTTATTTTATCTCGTTTCTCTGTCGAGACCACTCCCCAATCAGCCGCGCCACGTCGTAATTAGACACACCTTAATTCCGTCACGCCGACGTGCTGTCTCCTCGAGCTGCCACGTGGAATCTCCCCCACCAACGCCCGGGCCAAAACGCCAGATGGGCAGCAGGACGACCAGGTGCAGTGGTGGCCCCACATCTCCACCTACGAAATGCATTTACAAACTGCTTTCATGACTGCGCCCTAGTTACCCCTTCTTTTTTTTTGGGGTTAACTTCGTATGTGGGAAAATCTGGATGGACAGCCTTTCAGGCCCTTTTATTATCATTATAGTATTACAGGGAACCCCGCAGCAGCCAGCCCGAGTTCAATGCTCCGATGAAGGAACATTCGGGGGCTGCACCCAGCCTGCAGGTGGGTGATACCCGGCAGGGGTCAGCCGATAGCATCAGGACCAAGCTTCTTCGAGGGGCCGGTCGATGTGCCTCCCCTTCGGTCGCCTTCCCCAACGAACATGAGCAGTCTCTGCTCAATGCTGCTCAGGGGGATCAACGACCAATCTCCAGGTGGCGGTCGCCAAGCTTGCCCAGGAAGGTACATGAGGCCAATAGGGATTGAATCCAAGACCTCCTGAATGCCACTTGCATGCCTTACCAACTGAGCTAGGCCGCTGGATACTCTAGAAGCTTGCTAACGTGGATGAGATTTCCAAAAAGGGAGCGAAAAAAACGAGTACTACGGTTTCATTTTTGGGAAGAACCCGGTAGGTCTGATGGTTTTGGTTCATAGAACGCCGAAATAGAGGCAAAATGTGTTCAACTCACCTGGCCAAAGGAGTCTTCAGAAGATCCTTTATTTCAGATCACATGGTGAAGACCAGGACAACTCATCAGATCAGAATTACCATCACGAATGATTGGTGCAGGTGTACTAATACAGAGATCAGAATGCAAGGCTAGGAAATGGTTATGGGACATCTGGGGTACTGTGACGCGCGTGCAGGGGGCACGTGCTGAGATGGAGAGAGAGAGGGGGGGGGGGGGGGGGGGGGGGGGGGGGGGGGGGGGGGGGGGGGGGGGGGGGGGGGGGGGGGGGGGGAGGGGATGGACACACATGGAGGCTGCAGCAGCTGGACGGGTGTTGTCTGACTGAATGAATGAATGAACAATCGACCAAACCGAAAAAAGAATGGGATCCCCGATCTGGGCCTAGGCCGAAGTGACATACAGGCCTAGGTCCAGGTGCAGGGAAAACCCGTGGTACCGGACCAGGATCAGGCTGACGACCGAAAAATGGAGCGGCCTAGCTGCTGGGCCCCCAGGGGGGGCCTACAGGCACAGTCCCACTAGCAAAGAGGATTGGATTGAACACAAGGCTAGGAAATGGTTCTGGGACATCAGGGCCACAGTCCAACTAGCAAAGAGGATTGGATTTGATGGGGCTGAAAGTGGATGTAGAAAAACTGCACCTTTTTTTCCTTTTTCTTTCCAAGTCCAGGTTGTTGTAGAGGCTAGCCACCAGGCATATGACAATCCCTTCAGCAGTTGTCCAATTGATCATCCGAATGATTTTTCTATACAGGGCCCCTGTGAGACTCCCTTCCACCCTTACTCATCATTACTGTCCCTGGCGGCGGGCGCATCCCTACTCCCAAGGTCCTACCTTAATGTTTTACCACCCAGGATTTTCAGGATTTTTCAGGGCTAGCCAAAACAGTCAACTCCAACCCCAACAAACACTAAACTTAAAAAAAAAAAAAAGGGCGACGGCCTTGAGGTATTATCATCGGACTAACCAGCCCAGGTAAATTCAATACTGTGTCTAATCTGACATCGGGTGGCCTTTTCAGCCCAGGGTGGCGTTGGTTGCCTTCAGGGAACCCCTAGTGGGGGACACCGGCCAGGGGGCAGCCGGTAGCAGAGGGACCGAGCATCCTCTGCGTGGCCAGTCGCTGTGCCTCCCCGATTACCCCTCCCCCTATGAACATCAGCAGCAGAGACTGCTTTTTAATGCCAATTGGGGGGACCAACGGGCTATCTCTAGGTGGCGGGCGCCAAGCATGCCCAGGAAGGTACATGAGGCCAATGGGGATTGAACCCAAGACCTCCTGAATGCCACTTGCGTGCCTTACCAACTGAGCTAGGCCGCTGTTCCACAAACACTAAACTTGGCACACACAGACCTTGACCGAAAAAAAACAGGGCAAAAAAAAAACAGGAAAAACTAAAAAAACAGGAAAAACTGAAAAAAAACGATCTCCGACGCACTTTTCAGGGTTGAGGGGGTTAACTGGGGCTGAAAAGCTGGGGTCCCTGTTAACCGCTTATGCACCTCCAGTGACCTGACCAAACAGTGGATAGGCATCACAACTAAGCAAGCTCCGACCTACCTCCCCAGCCCTGATTGAAGATATAGTCGGACGATCCCTGGCATATGAGTACTTGGAGCGCTTGGGGTAGACATACTACTACAAGTCCCATAGGTGAACCCTTTTTTTCCTTGATAGAGAGATCCTAGCCATATCATCATCAGATCCCTCTGGTTATTATCTTGAATATATCTATGTTCTTGAAGCCTTTCCTATTGGAGGTTGTTCTTACTTAGAGCATCTCCAGTTTCCGTCCTCAGCAGGCTCATGGCCACCATCGGCTCCCCTTACCTCTATCATCAAATGGGTCTCTAGTCTTTTTTGTTTGTCCCCCAGAGTATCTCTGGTTTCCTTCCTCAGTGGGTCGACGGCCGCCATCCGCTCCCCCACCTCTATCCATCAACTAGACCTACTCTGGGCTCTTCGAATCTTACTGTGTTCTCCATGCAGGTAGCAGACCACCCTCACCCCTCGAGAGAGCCTCTAGGGAAGGTTCCCCAACGATATCCTCCACCAGAGCCTATCCCACCTCCACTCCTACCCATGGACCCCTAATACATCCCCTACTGCAGGTTCCCCACCAACATCCTCCAAAAGAGTCTTCTCCTACCTACCCTCCCCCCAGAGGAGTCCCTGATTGAATCCCACCCGCAGCCCATGGCCCCCCAAAGCAGAGCCCTAAGGTAACCAATTCTATGTGACCAGTCCCCCACAACCCTGTCTGCATCGACACAATTTTTGTACTTCCTTCATTTATCAGGTGTTGAACCCCACAATCACCCGGACAACCCCATGGACCAAGAACGTCAGGCACAGCTCTCATAACCTAGACCCATACAACAACCATGGACTAAACCCCTTGGGTGGTGTGCATGCAGTGTCTGTAAGCCTTTACCGTGCATCAGCCCAAGGGGGGTGACACTGTGCAAATGGCTGTGCGTTATGTAAATGCCCGCCGGTGTCCCTGCACGTGGGTGCGGAGTTTTGAACCTGCAACCGCAGACCACGATGCGTATTTCCAACCGGTGCCCTAACCACTGAGCGATAGGCCCTCGGAAAGGCTTTAGTGCGCCAATGAGATAATGTTTGCGAGCAACGGCCTCAATGTCTGCTGCCTTGTGTGACGAATGGAGGCTACAAAAGGGGGAAAAAAGTAAAGGGAATGCAGTATACAGAGGTGGAAGCCTACGGTAGATTACTGATCCAGTGGAAAAAAAAAAAAAAAAAAAAAAAAAAAAAAAAAAAAAAAATTGCTCCGGGGTTGGGGGTTTTGCAGTTCGTTTTTTTTTTTTTTTTTTTTTTTTTTTTTTTTTTGCACGCAAAATCTTCATCTTCATCAACAGAAGGGGGTAGGCGCATCCACACGCAAACAACCACGTGGCAAACCCCAACACCAAACGCCCGATGTCAGTTCGTCGTTGTGCCATCTATACTGCCATATGGCAAAATCCTATCTCGTAAAAAGCCACACAAGGTAAGGAGCCGTGCATAAGCAATTCTCCACACATTTTCCACCGCTCACTTATTACCCCATGCGATCNTTTTTTTTTTTTTTTTTTTTTTTTCCCCTCAGGGTCGAATTGTGAGATGCCTTTGATTTTGTGCGATGAAATGCTACAATTCTCCAGAAAAAAAAACAAAAAAAACTGTGAGTGATGCCCTTGTCCTTATCTTTACTTGAGTGCAGACACAGGTGCCTCTGTCTGTCGGAACGCACCTAAAGTTTCGAACCTGAATGTGCAGATCGTGGCGATCAGAATCACCGCCATGATTGGACATGTCATCTTCCAGGTGCTTTCTGATGATGGAGGCAATGTTTCTGGATCCTATTAACTTCTCATAGGGCAATAAAACGGAGGGGCGTACGTGCAATTAACACGAACGGAAAAGGCGAGGAAGGATTGAACCAAAGAACACAGAAACAGAGCAGACGAGGAGGACCAGTTGTCGCAAATCACCAAAGGCCCACTGCATATTTGTTTACGTTTTGAATCATAATAAAAAAAAATGCCCATTTGACCCGTTTTTCCTCGGTTTGCGCGTGTCATCTTGCTGGAATATTCGGCAAGATAAGTCAGATAGTGTGCGTAATCGAATGAGCAGAGTTTTCCTTGTTAAAAAAAAGGAAGAAAACAGATAAGGCAGATAACGCTTTTTTCTGGTTTTCTTCTTTCTTTGTTTTCTTTTTTCCCGTTTTTTCTGTTTTTTTTCTGTTTTTTTTAGGAGGACCTGTTGTTGCATATCACCAAAGGGGCACTGCATATTTGTTTATGTTTTGAATAATAATAAACATTCTGCCCATTTGACCCATTTTTCTCTATTTGCGCGTGTCATCTTGCTGGAATATTTGGCAAGATAAGTCAGATAACAAGTCAGTTAACGCCTTTTTTTTTTCTGGTTTTCTTCTTGTTTTTTTTTTGCTTTTTTTTTCCCGTTTTTTGAACTTTTTTTTCTGTTTTTTTAACTTTTCCCCTTTTTTAATTTCTTTTAATTTCTTTTTTCTTTTTTTCTCTTTTTTCTTTCTTTCTTTTTTTTTTTTTTCCTTTTTTTTCTTTGTTTTTCCTTTTTTCCCTTCTTTTTCCCTCCCCCCCTTTTTTTTTAAAAAGAAAATGTTCTCTCTCCCTTCAATATATGCTGGGAAACGGGCCCAGCATCTCTTACATCAACGGCCGCGGTCCTTGGGATGA